ACTGCAAGTGTGGAGGCCATGAGAATCAATTGTCTTTCCGGTTCTAAAGAAAGCTGCTACCAGCTGCAGGAAGCCAAGGGTCACGGCTTGTGGCTGGAGTCGAGGGGCTGGGTTCAAATCCTACCTCTGAAGAGACCTTTAGCAAATGGCTTAACCTGTCTCAGCCCCCATGAAAGTGGAGAAGCGGGTACCCTTCAGAGGATTGGGGGTGGAGTAAAAGAAATTGTGCACACATGCGTGTGCATATGCACATGTATGAGTGTGAAGTGCCTCACCCACTCAACTAATGGTCACTGTTATCTTAAAAGGTACTACTTTTGTCTATCAAAAGAACCTGGACCTGTCCTACCCGGTTTTGCTCAGTGGTTAGAGCGTCAGCATGAGGACATGGGTTTAATTCCGGTCAAGGGCACATACCTCGGTTGCAGGCTAGCTCCTGGCCCTGGTCGAGACAGGGGTGGGAGGCAACAAATCAATGTGTGTCTCTTACATCGATGTTTCTCTGTTTTCCCCCCTCCCTTCCTTTCTCTCTAAAAGTCAATGGAAACAATTTCCTCAGGTGAGATTAACAACAGAATTTGGGCCTGTCAGGTGAACTCCTGGTATAGAAGGCAAAGCAAAGCCAAGAACAGAGACTTCTTTCTGCGCCTTTAGAATACTCTGAGTCCAGGAGGCCCCCAATATGGCCAATTGTGATAGCGTATCTGTGTTTTGTGAGTATCGTGTTTTATTATTTTTACACTACTCCAAATTCCATGAATCCATTTGGGTTCTAACCAGTCATTTCAGAATCGCTGCTGCCTCTCAGAAAGGCAGCCCAGCGTGAGCGGAGCTGCCGGGGTTTGCTTTGGATCCATGGCAACGTGAGGGCCAGCTCCAAACAGCGGGGCTCTTGTTTTTGTTTTTGTTTTTTCTTCTAAAATTTGAGAAGGAGCTGGAGCCGGGAGCACAGGGAGCACACTCTCCTCAGCCTTGCTTTGTGTGTGTGGTTTCTTGCCCAGGGAAACTGCTGCCAGGAAAAAGCATCAAAAAGAAAAACCAGTTTTCCCCATTTGGTGGAACTCGGTCGCAAACATTTACTTGAGTATGCTTTTTATAACCTTTAAGGACTCCTGGTTTATCTCAGGTTTAGAGTTAAAAAAAAAAATCACTATATTAGCCTCTTTGCTTTTTTTTTACTCAATGGGAACATTTTTTAATTTACTCCGTTATCATCACACGTTTTTATAACTTTGTCCTCTGTTGGGCCCGGAATAGCACATAGCATTCGACCACATTAAGCTAAAGGAACAACAACAAAAACCTAATCAGTGGAGTGTGGAAATTGTTAAACTAATGAGGACTCGCACACTTTGACTTAAAAATGCTTCTGTGAGACTGAGCCATCTCCATCCAACAAGAACGATCCAGGAGGTGGCAATGAGTTCATTATTTTGAGATTTAAATAAAAAAGGTACCAAAGAAAATAGAGAATATGAAAGATAAAGATGTGTAAACCAGTAAGCATAATTTCTAGTAGTATATAACTATGTTTTCCTTTCTAATAATTATTCCTTTTAGTTATTCATTGACTTACTTGCCTTATTGTGTTAGCCAGGATTTCCTCTGGTTGTATATTGATTTGTTATGATTTCACATCTACTTGTGAAGTGGTTTTGATCTAAGGATGAATTTGTTTACTTGAGGGGGTTGTGTTAAGGTGATGTCATCAAAATTGTTGTGGAGGAGCGACTATGCCGTACTTATTTAAACTTTAATTCCAAGAGGAGTCTGTGAGGACTGACCGAGAGTGCTCAGTCTGGAAAAGGCTACTTTTTTGCTGATCCAAATAATTCTCTGAAGACCTGGGGTGGCCAGGCTACTCTGTGCCAGCAGTGATGAAAACTGCAGGGGCCCATGAAGGAGACCACCTTGCCTGCCAACACCGGTGCCTTTGTTCCCTCCAATCTTGCTCTAGTGACAAGGGACTTGCAGTTAGCGCTGGCAGCTGGACATCAGCAGTTGGCTGGCTAAACCAACTCTTCGGAGAACCGACTTATAGAAAGGTCTACTTTAACTAAATTTGGACTTAAATGCTTTCATCTCCTCTTTGCCTGGAATAATAGTATAACTAATCTATCATTGGATTGGAATATAGACACGAGAGCCCCAGTGCGTGAATTTGTGCATGGATGGGGTCCCTCTGGGTGGCCTGCAGGGATTGGGCTGAAACCTGCAGTCCAACGCTGCCTGCAGCTCCTACCTGCTGCCTGCCCAGGCTCATGCCTAGTCAGTCCTGCTGATGCTGCTCTTAGCGAGGTGTTCTCCCACAGGGAGCGGTCTGTGGGATCAGGCTGAAACCTCCCCGACATCCCCTGAGGGGTCCAGGCCAGGCTGAGGGACCCCACCGGTGCATGAGCTGGGGAGGGACTGTGGAGGGCTCTGTAAGAAGATTTTCCAGTCAGTATCTTTAACAGATATAGAACTATGCAAGTTTTCTAGATATTCTTGTTCAGTTTTGGTAATTTGTTTTTCAAGAAATCTGTGGCATTTGTCAATTTTCCCCCCAAAAGTTTTGTGATATGTTAATCATCTTTTAAAAATTTACAGAATCTGTAATGAATTTTTTTTTTTTATCCCTCATATTGGTACTTTGTATCCCTGTCCCTTTTTAAATACACATACCATAAACTTTACCACTTTAGCCATTCATAAGTGTATAGTTCAGTGTATGAAGTACACTCATGTTGTCCACCCATCGCCAACATCCATCTCCGCTACTCCTTTCATTTTATAAAGTCGAAACCCTGCACGCTGTCTCCCCCAGCTCCCCCGGCCCGAGACCATCGGGAAGTCGCGCTAACGTCATCTCTTTCTCTTTTAATCTCAAACTTCCTTTTGGGAAATAAAAACGCAGTCTCGCTGCTCCCATCTGCCAGGTGGAAAGAATGACACATGAGGGTCATTTAACTGGTAAGTTTTAACAGCGCACGCAGAGAGATGAACTGAGTCACTACAAGAGAAGCGGAGAACGGGAGTGCCGGGTCCAGACACATGGTCATCTCTGTGGCTCGTCCACGGGCCTCCATCCCGGGCCCACACGGCCCGCGGGCCCGCTCCCGCTCCCGATCGTGCGCGCAGCCCCCGCGCCCCGCGCCCCGCGCCCCGCGCCCCGCGCCCCGCGCCCCGCGCCCCGCGCCCCGCGCCCCGCGCCCCGCGCCCCGCGCCCCGCGCCCCGCGCCCCGCGCCCCGGGCCGGACATCCCAGCGGCGGGCGCGGCCGGGGGTCACGACCCGCCAGGCGCGCCTGCGTGGGGCTCCCGCCCGGAGCCGGACGGTGCACGCGGGGCCTGAGAGCGCCGCGCCTGCGCAGGCCGAGGCCGCGGCCCCGCCGCTCGGTCCGGGGGGCGCGTCGGGAATGCGCATCCGCGGGGCGGGCTTTCCCCGCTGACGGCCTGCGCGCACCGCGCCTGCGCGGGCTGAGGGCGGCGGCTCCGGCTCCCGCTCGCGCTCCGCTAGGTGCCGTCCGCCCCTCGGCGCTAGCGGCGCGGACGCCGAACTCAGCGGAGAGACGCGGCTGAGGTAGGCTTTCCGTGGGCAGCTCGGGGCGCCGGACCGCGCGTGTGCAGGACATGCCAAGTGAGAGGGCTTCGCTCGGCGTGTGCGTGGCCAGCGCCCTGGGGCCTCCGCCCCATCCGAGACCACCCGGCTCCTTCCGACCTCAGCGCTTCGCGCTGCGTTGGCACACTGCCAGCCTAGCACCCGCCCCTTCCTGGGCCCCGCCCCTCCACCACGCCCCTTTATCAAGCCACGCCCACTCCCCCTCTGTCCCCGCCCCCTTTCATCCTCCCCCGCCCCCCGCTGTGAGCCCATGTCATCCTTTCTTGCCTACTTGCTCCTCCATTGGTGGCATCTGTGCCCCGCCCCCTGTCTTCACTCCCCCACCTGTCACGCCCCCTGTCTTCACTCCCCCCACCTGTCACGCCTCCCCCCCTGGGCCACGTATCCCACAGTGCGCGCAGCCTGTGCCCCTTTGCAGGACTGGCCTTCCTCGGCCCTACCTCGGCCTGGGTCCTCAGGGCAGTCTTCCCACCCGCCAGGCCCCGCCCCTGTCCACCAGGCCCTGCCCACTCACCAGGCCCCGCCCTCTAGGCCCCGCCCCGCCCTCTAGGCCCCGCCCCTCCCCCCTACCCAGCCCTGACCCACCCTGGTCCCAGGGCAGTGTTTTCCAATGAAAATGTAACGTATGCATATTAGTATTTGTAATTCTAAATGTCACAAAAATAATTATTGAGCTTTTTTGCTTACATTTCTTTATTGATTAAGGTATCACATATTTGTCCTCATCCCCCCATTCCCATCCCAAACCCCTCCCCACACATGTCCCTACCCCCTTGTTGTCCTTAACCACTGGTTAGGCTCACATGGATGTAATTATTACGTCTTGATTGATAAGTGAAGCACGCATTTTAAACAGAATTGAAAAAAAAAAAACCCTTAGTGTTTAATATGGACTGTACTATTGCTGGAAAAATAAGAATTGATAATGAGAAGGAAAAGCCTTTGGAAGATGCAGACCTTGGTTCCTGTTAGTGGAAATACTTTGAAGCCTCAGGTAGGGAAGTTTAATTGGAAGGAAAGCTAACAGGATTCCAAGGAAAGATTTTACAGTGTTGTGTGTTCAATCAACCCACTGATGGGACAGAAACTAACAGGCTGCGTTTGGCCACTGAGTAAGATGAACACCTTGCAGACTGGTGAAGAAAACACACATTTCTTTGAAGTTCCTAAATTTTCAGTTGTTTTTGTAAAGAACTGCATTTATAAATTTTATTTCTGTCTCATTCTTTAAACATACATATTTTATTTCTACGTGGTAGAGGACCTTGTCATGGACCATAGAAGGGAGGTTAACGTAATGATTATGCGATGTAACAAGTCATTCCCTCTCTTTTAAAGTAGAAATGGAAAGGAAAATGAAACATTAAAAGTGGCAGCTATGTGGCAGATCCTAAAAGAACTATGGCAACTTCAGGTGACTGCCCCGGAAGTGAATCTCAGGTAATTTCAGTTCTGGTCGGGGAGAACTTGTACTTAAACCCTGGGAACGTGTCAGAGAGCTGAGATCAGCCGGGAGCGATAGTGCTCTCCTTGGATTTAGGAAGATGGCCACCAACTATGGTGTGCTTAAAAAATGCAGAAAATGCAATGTCTACGGTTGACATTCTGAATTGGGCACTGTAAAAATCTCCCAAGAACCTAGTGTTCCATCTTTGGAACCTGTGCTGGTAAAACAGGCACATTTTCTTAGTTGTTAAGAAAGTCTCAGGCATGATATGTTAAAACAGGTCAGATACATTAGAAAAGATTTGTGTAACTCATACACATAGTTTCATTCAAGTTAGCAGTAAAAAAGTCACCTTAAATTTCAAGGAATATTGATTAGGAAAAATTAAAAACCAAATGAATTGTCTAATAAATAATGTTTATAAAGAAATTAAACAATTTTAGGTTTGTGATGTCAAGTGTAACATTTCCCCCCTTGCATTCTAATGGTTGTTGTAATTTCATTAGGGTTTTAAAAAAGAGATTTTTATTGATTTTTGAGAGAAAGAAAGAAGTGGGGAGGAGAGATAGAAAGAGAGGAGAGGAGAGAGAGAAGCATTGGTTTGTTTTTCCACCTATTTATGCACTCATGGTTGCTTCTTTTTTAAAAAAAATATATTTTATTGATTTTTTACAGTGAGGAAGGGAGAAGGATAGAAAGTCAGAAACACTGATGAGAAAGAAACATTGATCAGCCCCCTCTTGCACACCCCCTACCGGGGATGTGCCCGCAACCAGAGTACATGCCCTTGACCGGAATTGAACCCTGGTCCCTTGAGTCCGCAGGCCGATGCTCTATCCACTGAGCCAAACCGGTTTCGGCTCATGGTTGCTTCTTGTATGTTCCTTTATTGAGGATGAAATCTACAATCTTGGTGTATCAGGACGACAGTCTAACCAACTGAGCTGCCTGGCCAGGGCTTGAGTTTTTATATATAGGAATTTTATTTATAATTGAGTCATTTTATTAATCATTTTCTTAAAATTAATCATAAAATATTTTAAAAATATTTTTATTGTTTTCAGAGAGAGGAAGGGAGAGGAAGAGGGGGGGGAGAGAGAGAGAGATAGAAACATCTATTATAAGAGAGAATCACTGATTAGGTGCCTCCTGCACATCCCCTACTGGGGATCGAGCCTGCAACCCTGGCCTGTGCCCTGGCAGGGAATTGAAACGTGACCTTCTGGCTCATGGATCCACACTCAACCACCGAGCCACACTGGCAGGCAATCATAAAATGTCTTAATTCCATGGTTATCTCATTTTTCTTTTGAGAAATGTTTGAACATTTATAGAATGAAGATTGCAAACATCAAGAACCTATTGCTCAGAAGTGAAAATTTGTTAACATTTTGTCATGTTTGCTTTAGCATACACCCACACACATACAGGACATAAAACAAAACCACAGATAAAGTTTGTTCCCCAACCGCAGGCCCAACTTCCTTTGTCTTCAGAGGCAATCACCACTAAGAATTATGAATTGAACATTGTGCTTCTGCACCAGTTTTATACTTTTTATAACCTATTTTGGCATCTTTAGAATTTAAAAATGTACATACTGGGACGGAGTGCTGCCGTGACCTGGAACAGCGGTTGGAGGTTCTGCCACCTTTGGCGATGTCTGCCAGGCCGGCCCCTTTCAGTGTGAAGTGGAGCCGGGCAGCATGCAGGTCCCTGGGGTGTTAGGGCCTTCCTCTGGGTCCTGAGCAGCATGTGTCAGTGGCAGTGCTGCCCAGTGAGGCCACACCCGGTGCCAGGTCACCAGCTCCTTCCCTAGGCCTTCAGCGAGGCCCACGAGGCCCATCCAGCTCTGTGTTCAAGCCCCATGAGGTCCCCACGGTGCCACAGGCAGAGATGGGACTTCCTTCTCCTGGGGCTGGGCCTCATTTTCAGGAGGCTTCCCAGATGCTCAGAGGTCAGTCACTTCATAGACACTAAAAATGCCTCTTTCTTTGATGTTCTATTGAGGTTGCAGATTATTTTGTACTAGAGATAAGAGGTAAAGGTGGAGGGCAGGTCAGACCCATCAATTCTGCTAGTGAGGATGACCCAATTGTTTGATAAAAACTTGGGTCAGTTGAATCTTTGTAAAACTATCCTAATAACCCAGAGGCTCCACTCCCCCCCCCCCCCCCCCAAAAAAAAAAAAAGAAAAAAAAAAAGGAAAGAAAGAGAAGCCCATAATAATTTCCCTGTTCTCTGGCTTTGAGCAGCGGGGAGAAGAGCCTGTGGAACACTGTGAGCAGCCCCTCCCGGAGGGTGTGCACCCCGAGGAGTTCGTGGCCATCGCGGACTATTCTGCCGCCGACGAGACACAGGTAGTGTTGTGTGCGTCAGGCCCATGTTGCGTGGACTCCAGCGTGCCCGGCATTAGGTGAAATGTCGGAAGGAGGTGACGTTTTTCAGGAAGTCATGCTAACGTTAAAGAAGCGTTCAGAAGTTTAGAGCCCCCTGAGGCCCGCGAGTGGCCCATCCTTCCTTCCCAGCCTAACGAACTGTGATCCCAAGCCTGATGTGAGAGATTCTGTGTGAGGAATGGGGGAGGAAGTACCTGCTCCAGTTTCTGCTTGGCAACCTTGGTTCAGAACCTGTCCTTGTTACTGAAAAAGAAGGTTATAAAATAAAAATCCCTGCTCGAACAGGGCTTTCTTTGCTTTGTAACGGGAATTCCCTAGCCAGGGCCTCCAGCCACATAATCGGCTATCACAAAGCTGAGTTACAGCGGGGAGGCCGTTGAGAGTTTCTGTCCTAAGCCTTTTGAAAATGTTTAATCTTTCTTTTGAAAAAATACCAACTAAGCTGTGCTTTTCTTTCATGTAGATGGATAAAGCCACAAAAACCTCTTAAATCCTGGCGCCATTTGCATAAGTTGTCACCTGGAATAAATACCTATTGACTTGTTTTTGAAATGCTGTGATTGGGGCCCCAGTGATAGGGGATTTATTACAAAGTCACAGTTGAAATGACAACTGCATGTTTTTCTGGAATTTTCACTTCTCCATGTGTGTTTCCAGCTCAGTTTTCTGAGAGGAGAGAAGATTCTCATCCTGAGACAAACGACTGCTGACTGGTGGTGGGGCGAGCGCGCCGGGTGCTGTGGGTACATACCAGCCAACCACCTGGGGAAGGACCTGGAGGAGGGGGACCCCGAGGACACGTGGCAGGACGAAGAGTACTTCGGCAGCTACGGAACTCTGGTATTGGTTTCAGACTGCCTGGTCAGCTGGCCACGTTCCAACTTTTCAAAATGATTCCTGGGCTTCCTCCACTCATCTCCGTTTAGAGCAGGGCTTGGAGGCCACACCCTCTGATTCCGGGCCACTTGGCTCTGCTGTCTGTGAAAGCAGCCCCCAGAACACAAAGAAGCAAGCAGGGCTGTATTTCAAGAAAACTTGATGACTCTGAAATTATAATTTCACGTAATTTTTATGTGTCCTATTCTTCTTCTGATTTTTAAAAAATCATTTTAAAATGTAAAAGCTATCCTTAGCTTGCAGGCTATACAAAAGCAGGTGGTAGGCCTGGATTGGCCCATGGACTGTAGTGTTAGTTGACTCCTGGTTTAGGGATATTATTTGAGCAATGAGATTATGAACTTTTCTTGGTAATTTTAAAAAAAGTTATCAATTTTATTTAAAAAATACAAAAAAAAGATATATAGCAACAACAATAATAATACCTCTATATAACTAACGTGTTAGTCTATTTTTTTTTCAATATGAATAAAGACCCATAATCCTATGGTCCAGACAGCCCCATTGATATTTTAAAACTAGATCAAAACTGATACTTGTAGATCGAATGTTATAAACCTAATATGGAGTGAAAGAAGCAATATATCAAAGAACAGTTAATGTTTGACTCAATTATATAAAGTTAAAAGGTATTGTTTATGGTGAGTGTACCCAGTAGCGGAACTCTGAAGGAGATTGGGGACCTGGTTCCTCTGAGGACCTGAAGGATGCGGTGGGTCATCGGGGTCTCTGATCAGCAAGGCTGGGATGGGAACATTTGGGGCGCTAGCAATGTTCTAGTATTGGTTGCTCTGTAACTGGATTTGATAACCTTTTTGTAGGTATGTCATATTTCACAATAACAAAATGCTAAATTCAATGAAGAACTGTTGGTATAAATGGACGTAATGATGTTTTGGTCAACAACGGGCCACGTATGTGATGATGGTGTACCATGTGGCCAAGGTGTGCAGTGGGCTGTACCATCTAGGTTTGTGACAGTGCACTCTATGATGTGCACATGACAGAATCGCCAAATAATGCATTTCCCAGAAGGGATCCCATGCATGATTGCATGGTTAGAACTTCCAGTCTCTTAAGAAAGACATAATGAAATCCAGAGTCCGTGCCCTCACTGGAGAGGCCGCTGCACCTTGTAAGTTCTCTCAGCTGCAGTGTTCATGCTCTCACCAAGGAAGTCATGCTGAAGTTAAAGAAGTGTTCAGAATTTTAGAGCCACGTGAGGCCTGTAGGTCTAAGCTGCATCAGTTTTAGTTTTTTAAATTTATAGAAAAGGAATGTTCCACACACACACTTTTCACGTAGCTATGTTATTTTGAATGTCTGTTCTTTGTATCAGCTACGGAGTATTGTGTTGCTTATAAAAAGACCGTGTTGGTAGACTGTGCATAGTTAATGGCTTTTTATCATGACAAGCAGTGCTGTGATGGATGTCCTCCTACACAAGTACTGCTCAACTTTGCTAGAATTTCCATTGGGTAAATTCATAGGGTGTGTGTATGTTTTTTACTTTGGTGGATTTTGCCAATTCGCCCTTCCAAAAGATTTATTGAATGTACACCCACCAATGGTGTGTGGGTACCTATTTTACTATCACAAAGCATCTAAGGGAAACAATATTTTAAATTTAAATTCTCTATTGTTTAAAATATTACATAAGTCTCCTTTTCTCCCCATTGACTCCTCTTTGACTTCCCCTACCCCCCAGCACATGCCCTCCTGTGTCCATTGGTTATGCTTATATGCATGTATACAAGTCTTTTGGTTGATCTCTTACCCCCTCACTCCTTGCCTTCCCCCATAGGTTGGACAGTCTATTCAGTGCTTTTATGACTCTGATTCTATCCATCAGTTTATGTTGTTCATTATATTCCACAAATGAGTGAGGTCATGTGATATTTATCGTTCTCTGACTGGCTTATTTCACTTAGCATAATGCTCTCCAGTTCCATCAATGTTGTTGCAAATGGTAAGAATTTCTTCTTTTCTATAGCAACATACTCTGTTTCCCCGAAAATAAGACAGTGTCTTATATTAATTTGTTCTCCCAAAGTTGCGCTAGGTCTTATTTTCAGGGGATGTCTTATTTTTCCATGCGCTAGGTCTTATTTTCAGAGAATGTCTTATTTTTGGGGAAACACAGTAATATTCCATTGTGTAGATGTACCACAGTTTTCTAATCCACTGCTCTGCGGATGGGCACTTAGGCTGTTTCCAAATCTTAGCTATTGTAAATTGTGCTGCTGTGAACATAGGGTGCATATATCCTTTCTGGTGTTTCTGATTTCTTGGGGTATATTCCTAGAAGTGGTATCACTGGGCTAAATGGGAGTTCCATTTTTTATTTTTTTGAGGAAACACCATACTGTTCTCCACAGTGGCTGCACCAGTCTGCATTCCCACCAACAGTGCATGAAGGTTCCTTTTTCTTCACATTCTCTCCAGCACTTGTTGTTTGTTGATTTGTTGATGATAGCCATTCTGATAGGTGTGAGATGGCACCTCACTATTGTTTTAATTTGTATCTCTTGGATGATTAGTGACTTTGAGCATGTTTTCATGTCTCTTGGTTTTCTGTAAGTCCTCTTTTGAAAAGTGTCTATTTAGGTTCTTTGCCCATTTTTTTGATTGGATTGTTTATCTTCCTCTTGTTCAGTTGTTTGAGTTCCCTATACATTTTGCAGATTAAACCTTTATCAGAGATAACATTGGCAAATATGTTCTCCCACGCAGTGGGCTTTCTTATTGTTTCATTGATGGTTTCTTTTGCGGTGTAAGGAGGAGCTGTACGCGCCTCACTGAGGCTGAAAGAGTCCAGAAATTTCCAGTTTGTTCCTTCACTGTTTACTCTTCTGTTGGCATATTTTGGTCTCTTGACTGCTCATGTGTTTATATGTGGAGTTGAGGGGGTTAACTTAGACCCTCCCGTTCCACCTTAAACCGCAGCTCAGTGCAGCTCTCATTACAGGCCATGACTCACACTGTGCTTTTCCTGCAGAAACTTCACCTGGAGATGCTGACAGACCAGCCACGAACAACGAAATACCACCACGTGATCCTGCAGAACAGGGCGTCCCTCAAAGACAAAGTGATTCTGGATGTCGGCTGTGGGACCGGGATCATCAGCCTCTTCTGTGCACATTATGCGCAGCCCAGAGCGGTGAGTAGGAACAAGTCTCGGTGACACGTCCTTTGTGTGCCAGCCATCGTGTTGACAAAGTTGGCAGCGTATCCACGAAGGCAGCAGTCAGAGGTCATGTCATTGGTTAATGAGCCAGCACAGACTGTGATAGGACAGATAGAAAATGTCCCCATGAGCTGCACGTGGTGTGTAGCTTTTTGAAACATTTATTTCCCTTGGATATAGAAAAACACATGCATCCCACATGTATAGGTCACATCCACATGTCGTCCCTTCCCTAGCAGGGACTACTCGGCAGGGACAGGACAGACCTCACTCTCTTTCTTTAAAGCGCGCCTGGGCCGTGCAGAGTTGCAGTCCCTTGCACGGGCTGATGTAATTCCTAGTGTACAGATGAGGCTGCTTGCAGGAACCACCTGAGTTCAGATCCTTTTCGAACCAGGACATGGTGCTCAGGACCCTCCACTGAGAACCTGGATTGAAATGATGTCAGAGGCCACTGGTATCCTAAAAGTCGGGCTGTCCTCAGATGAGAGCCGAGAACCTCCTGCGTCAGTTAGGGATTGCTGCTGCGTGAACAGGAGTTGGCTCTGGCCTTACCCAGGGGGCCTTGGGGCAGGCGGCCCTGGGCCGGTGCAGAGGCTTCTGTTCATCTGCGGCCCCAGGTCTCTTAGGCCGAAGGAGGAGTTAGAGCTCCCTCCCCAGGGCTCCCTCTGAACAGTCGGCACACTGGCCCCTCCGCCCTCGGCACACCGTCTTCCTGCTGTCCCCGCCGTTTGCCATGTACTTCCATGCAGATTCTGACTCAGCCGAGGCGGTGACAGGCTGAGCAGTGCCAGCATGTGCACTGATGGTGCCTCTGCCACACGCAGGTGTACGCGGTGGAGGCCAGCGAGATGGCCCAGCACACGGGGCAGCTGGTCATGCAGAATGGCTTCGCCGACATCATCACCGTGTTCCAGCAGAAGGTGGAGGACGTGGTGCTGCCGGAGAAGGTGGACGTGCTGGTGTCCGAGTGGATGGGGACCTGCCTGCTGGTAAGGGCGGGGCCGTGGCTGGGCTGGTCTCTGGGATCTTCTTCACAAATCATGGTTAATTTTGACGTTTTCTATAAGGTCAGATGTAATTGAGTTTTTATATGAACATTGGCCTAGTGTCTTATTTTTAACTGATTAAAAAAAATGCCTTTATAAGAATCTTGTATAACAACACCATTTAAAATGGAAGACAATTGGGAAAAGTACAAATAACTGTGGCAGTCTATATAAGGGAATACTCCATGGCCATTAAAAATTGGGCTTTAGGAAGTTTCTCGATATACATAGAGAAAAGTTAGTGATTGTTGGTTCTAAAAAAAAAAGCACAGAAAGGTAATTGCAGTATGATTCCAGTTTTGTTTGTAAAATCACATGTGACAATGAGTGAGCATGTCGTGGTAACTATTGAGTGACCGACTGACCGAGGTGGGATGGGAGTGAAGGTTAGTCTGACCGTTAGCCTCGCCCAGTTCTAAATTCTAACTGAACATGATGTGACTTAAACCCACGCTATAAGAGGAGGTGACCATTGATGTGTGGGTATTAGAAACCCTCCAAGACGTGTTGGCTGGTGATACGCTTGAGGGCTAAACTTGTAACGATCCCAGACCGTGCAAATGCAGCAGGGATGTCTGCAGACACTGGCCTTAGTCACCGTGTCTCCCTTGTGTCTCTCCCTCCCATGCAGTTTGAGTTCATGATTGAGTCCATCCTGTACGCCCGGGATGCATGGCTGAAGGAGGGGGGGATCATCTGGCCGACCACGGCCGCGCTGCACCTCGTGCCCTGCAGTGCCGACAAAGACTACCGCAGCAAGGTTCTCTTCTGGGACAACGCCTACGAGTTCAACCTCAGCGCGCTCAAGTGAGTGTCCGGGGCTCAGGCACCCACAGGCACGCTCGGGCCTCCCGCAGGATGGACTGCGGGCATTTCTGGGGCAGAGTAACGTACTCTGTTACAGAACTTGCCATGAAACGAAATTTAGTCATGTGTCTGAGCATTTTGCATGCTGCCCTTAATGCATTTAAACTGATAACAGCTCTGATGGGAATTGCACTGTCTGTTGCAATCTAAGGTCCCAAATATAACGGGAAAAATAATGTAATGTTTATGGACAAGACCTTTGTAAATGCGTGGGCCATGGAAACACAAATATATGTTCCCACTGAGAGCTATACATTTTCAAGGATCAGAACATTTGATTTCTTGGTTTTTAACATGTGACACTCTTGCACAGTTGAGCCTCAGGTTTGATTTCCTGATAAGGCCGTTCCATTTCTAGGCTGCCCCCTCGGGGAAGGATGGCAACAGAAGCTGGCGGCTGCTTCTGAGGGTGCCATGGTAACTAAGCCCTGGAAATTAGGGAAGGGCCATCTGTCAGAAGCTGCAGGAAACTTCATTCATGTAGCAAGGACCAGGTGAGCCCGGATGCCTGATGGACATCCAGATGGGGAGTAGACAGCAAGACGGGGGCCTCTGGGCCTCTTTTTTTTTAATTAAAAAATGGAAGAGAAATAAGTGTCAACTGAAGGTCACTGCTGCCAATTCAATGCCAACAGGAGTCCCCAACCTGGGGTGCCGTACAGGAGAAACTTCAGTGAAACAGCTTGTCTGTGAGCACAGCTCCTGTTGCAGCTCAGTTTGCCAACCAGGGAAACACAGCCATCGTGATCCACTGAGACAGGGGAGGCTGGCTTATATAGAGACAAGTTTCTGCCCTGTCCTTGTGATTGGTCTATTTTCATGTAAATGAGAAATCCAAATTTGTACAGTTTGATTAGTCCAAATAGCACTGTTCTGAGTGGTCAGCCCCTGAATTCTGATTGGCCAGTATAGACACAAATGAGAATAATATTGCACAGCTCTCATTGAGGGGGACAGTTCTTCAGCCCTTGGGTAGACTTTCAGTCCTAGGAGCTCTCTTACAAGGGGAGAGAGGAAGGAACACAGTGCTGGAGGCTGCTGCTTGTCCCTAAACGAGGCAGTGTGCATGAGGGGCCCCTGGGAAGCAATGACTGCTAGACTTTGGTTCTGTGTTTGAGCCCAAATCACCACAAAGAGTTCTTAGCAGGTATATGCTTCTCGGGGTTGACAATAGTAATGCATACGGATGAAATCTTTCCTAGTTAACACTGAATCATTGCATCTTCAACCCAGACCCCAAAGGGAGTGGAGGGGGAAGGCCTGACACAGCTGTTCTGTAGTTCATCTAGGAAAAAATGGGCAGGAAGGGCTAGGAAGGCTATGAAAGGAGCAATGAGGAGGTTCTGTGCTGCCAGGTATTCACATCTATGGTAGGGTCATTAAAGCAATTTGGTCCTGCGCCCAGAAAAGACAGATGAGCAGCATAGGATGGGAAGCGGTACAGAGCTGGAGACTCTGGGAGAGGTGGGGCGTGAGGGCAGGCAGCCAGTTATCCTGGGACAGGTGATTGTCCCTTCTCACCCCACACATTAAAACTTAATTCCGTGCGGATTTGAGTTTTATGTTAACATGCCATATATTCTTAATTCCTTCTAAGTGCATACTCGTTTTTATCAGAGAAAATTATTAAAATATGTACGTATAATGGAATCTTTTATTAAAATGTTTACCTTTATTTGCTATTTCCGAAGTTACTGCTGTCCTTATTTTTGGAAACTTTTCTGTGGTAAATAACTGATTACTTCCCGGCAAACACAGGGGTCAGCCTGTGAAATGGAGTGTTAGGGGAGGACATGCAAAGGGCCCTGCAGGAGTCCAGCCGTGTCTCCTGAGAGTCAGGCCTTCAGTCCTGCTGACTCACTGCATTTATTAAGGAATAACCTAGAACAGGAATATGTTTTTATTTGCTGTGTAATAGAAGATCCATGAAAGGTCTTTTATAATAAGACTTGAGGCCTGGTGCCCGACATTCATGCACTGGGGGTGGGGGGTCCCCCTCCAGCCCAGCCTGCACCCTCTCACAGTCCGGACTCCTCAGGGATTAGGGTCTAAACCAGCAGTCGGACATCCCCCGAGGGGTCCTTAGCACAGCTGCAGAGGTGGGAGATGCTCACTGCGTTCTCCAGCCGCGAGTCCAGCTTCTGGCTGAGCAGTGCTTCCCTGTGGAAGTGCACTGACCACTAGGGGGCAGCTCCTGTGTTGAACATCTGCCTCCTGATGGTCAGTGCGTGTCATAGTGACCTGTCATTCTGCTGTTTGGTCAATTTGTATATTAGCCTTTTATTATATAGGACAGATTCTAAAAATAAAGAGAACACATGTGCATCCTGGGTGTGTGGTGAAGGTTGGTTTCTGTGTGTTCAGACCTTGTGAAGCGGGCAAAAGGAAAGTGCCTTATTGCTGCACTCAGGCTGCCTGGCCTGCGGGGAGAGTCTGGGCGGGGGGAGGGGGAAGGGGAGGGGCCCATTGCTGCACTCAGGCCGTCTGGCCTGTGGGGAGGGTCAGAGTTGGGCTCTTAGAGCTGCAGACAATGGAGTGGAGTTCCTGCTAATATAGAAGAGAAAAGGCATGTCCTGTTGTCACGTGTGTCCGAGCCTGAGCTGTTGGTGGTGGCTTGGAGTAATTACTCTGACCTTTTCCCCAGATCTTTAGCAATTAAGGAGTTTTTCTCGAAGCCCAAGTACAACCACATTTTGAAGCCAGAAGACTGTCTCTCTGAGCCGTGCACTATATTACAGCTGGACATGAGAACGGTGCAGATCGCTGAGCTGGAGGTGAGGCTGTGTAATCGGTGCACACACGTGTGAAACTTGTGATACAGAGAAACGGATTTATGCTTTTTGCTACTGATTTTCCCATAGTCTTTTTTTTTCTTATGGTCTATTCTGATTTTCTTTTATATTTTTACATTATTTTCTTTCTAGTTTACCTCTTTAACATCTTTCATTATTTTAAAAGTGCCTTGTTGCTGCACTTATGTTTATGTTTAATATTATCAGCATCTTCAGATTCAAATAAATTATATCCAATTTTATGATGGAATTTAAATTTTTTTTTTTTAAATTGATATCAGAGAGGAAGGGAGAGGGAGAGAGAGAGAGAGAAAGATCAATGATGAGAAAGAATCATTGATTGGCTGCACGCCTGCTTCTCCACACTGGGGATTGAGCCTGCAACCCGGACATGTGCCCTGACTAGGAATCAAACTGTGATCTCCTAGTTCAGTGGTCAGCAAGCCGTGGCTTGCAAGCCACATGCGGCTCTTTGGCCCCTTGAGTGTTCTAATGCCACTTCTTCAAAATAGACTTGCCTAAGCCGAAAACCAACTTCTGTGCATGGGCCACAAAGTTTCAATTGTACTGTACATGTGCGCCCGCACATGGTATTTTGTGGGAGAGCCACACTCAAGGGGCTAACGAGCTGCATGTGGCTCACGAGCTGCAGTTTGCTGATCACTGTCCTAATTCATAGGTCAACACTCGAGCCACACTGACTGGGCTCATAATGGAATTTTAACAAAATTTTTTTTCTAAGTGTTTTTAGCTATTCTTGACAAAATTCAGTTCTTCATTTTACTTACCCCCTCTTATCATAGGGCATATGTAGGTTCAGGACCATCCCTTTGGGGGAGGCAATGTTTGAACACAACCAACCTACCCCCCCCCCCCCACAACCCCCAACTGGGAGTTTGATGGCAAAACAGTATGCAACCTGAAATTTTGAGGTTTTATTAGTTTCAGCTACAATTGTAGAGACCCAGCCTTAAACTTCCTATGCAAAGAACTGGGAAGAGAAGGTATTCTCAAATTTTGGGGCACAAAATTAGGCAAATGAGGCTCAGATTGCTTGAAACCTTTTCTGATTATCTGCTCATTTGAATTCATAACGCAGGTGTTAGTATTTACTTTCTTAGGAGGATATTCTGTATGGTTTTTTTTTTTTGATGTGTATAGTTAAATTAGCAAGTGACAGGTGTGTTTCTAGTCGCTGCGATGGGGGTACAGGCAGTGGTGGATCTGTGACGTGTGCCCAAGCGGAGGAAGAGTCTCGCTCAGACAGAGCGGAGGTAGCCTGTGTCACGTGCCTGTGGACCCATGTCCGTTTTCTCTCTGTTTGGCTGAACACAGACAATGAAAGGGGAGCTGTGCTTCGATATCAAGAAAGCCGGCACTCTGCACGGATTCACGGCCTGGTTCAGTGTCCGCTTTCAGAACCTGGAGGAGGAGGAGCCACAGCTGGTGCTGAGCACGGGACCGTTCCACCCGTGAGTGTCTGCTCCTCCTGTGGGCACACGGGTACCTCTCCGTGGAGCATAAAAGGGTTTGTCTTCAAGCTATTGGCCTGACAAAAAGCATGACAGAGTCATGAACTTAAAGATCTAGAAGTGTCGAACACTGATTTAGAATCTCTCTAGACCAGCTCCCTGGGCTGGGGAGCTGTGACGTGGAGCCAGGTGTGCAGTGGGTGGGTGTCGGGGCCCAGGCTGGGTGGAGGTGAGTTGGGGTCTTGCGCCCCCACCCGTCCCTGCACTTGGCTTCCCCAGGCTGCTCCTGGGCCCCTGGATGAACAGAGCGGGGCTCGGGGTTGAGCAAGCTTTGTCTTCTCAGTTGCCCCAAATGTTGCTATAGCTTTTGTTTTTAAATATATTCTTATTGATTTCAGAGAGGGAGGAAGAGGGAAAAAGAGAAAGAAACGTCAATGATGAGAGAGAATCAAGGATCGGCTGCCTCCTGCACACCCCGCACTGGGGATCGAGCCCCCAACTTGGGCACGTGCCCTGACCGGGAAATGAACTGTGACCTCCTGGTTCATAGGTTGACGCTCAACTACTGAGCCACCGCAGCCGGGCTGCTACAGCTCTTCATGGTTAGCAGCGTTCTTTTTTGCCGAAGGCAGGTGCTTCTTGAGACACATGTTTTGTGCAACAGCGTTTCGTGGCTGCACACTTGTGCCCACACTTGGAACCCACGTCTGCTCATGATGCTGACCCAGCAGCCCATGGAAATGAAATGTTGCCTTCATGGGCTTTCAGTAGCTGCCCTGGACACAGGGTCAGCTAGAAGTGAGCAAGGCACCAGGAAGGGGTGATTGAGCTATTTAGGCCTAAAGTACCCCGATGAGTGAGGCCAAGAGCAGCTTGCCCAGAGCATCCTGTGGAGGTTGCAGAGCTGGGTCTGCAGCCAGTCCTCCCGGAGCGGCGCCCGGCATGGCTGCGAGTGCTCACCTTAGGAACCAGCGGTGAGCGCTGTGTGCCTGCGCCCGTCTCCACCTGAGGGTCTGCGGTGGGTTGTCTACACGCAGGTGGTAGCAGGGACAGGGTGGCGGTGGGCAGGGCACAGCAGAGGACTCATGCTCGCTGAAGGGTCAGGGAAAGAGACCCCATGGTGGCTGAGGGAGGTGGCCCCAGAGTGTCCTCAGCTGGGAATGAGCTGGGGCCACACTGGGTGCCTGGGAGAGGACATGACAGGGGATGAGCCTACAGAACTTAGAGGGTTCCAGAGTGTTACTGTTTTCCCCAGATGTCACAATTGTGTCGTACGCATGCAATCACAGAAATAGCGTGTTTTGGACTCAGTTTCCTCAGTGTGTGTTTCTTCTTAACTGCAGGAACTAGAACCACGGGCATCAGTGGCTTAGAGAAAGGGCTGGGTGACTTGGGGTGGACACCGGCTATGCTAGGCTGTGGAGGCCGGGTTGATACTTGGAGGGACTGGGGAATGGACACCATACGGGGATCCTGTGTCTGGCCATGCGCCCTGAGCACCCAGGGCCACCAGAGTGAGCCCCCCTCTCTCCTCCCGGGATCTGAGCAGTGTCCAGCAGCCGGGCCCTTACTGGGCTCTGTCTACCCTGCAGTAACTCCAAGAGAATGGTCCAGGTAGGAGCTCCAGTAATGCCTCCCCTCGTGTCTTGCAGCACCACCCACTGGAAGCAGGTGCTGTTTATGATGGACGAGCCCGTCCCCGTCCACGCAGGGGATGTGCTCACAGGCTCGATTGTGCTGCAGAGGAACCCAGTGTGGAGGAGGCACATGTCCGTCACTCTGAGTTGGTCTGTCACTTCCGGGCAGGACCCCACGTTGCAGAGGGTAAGATATTTAAGTGTAAAGGCATATGTTGTGGTGCTGGGCTGGGGATGGGTCTGTGGTGATCCCCGTGGCGGATACTTGTCCCTGCCCTGGCCAGACACCACGGCCACGCCTTGTCTGCATCATTTTTCTAATTCTCATGCTGGGCCCTGGATGCTGTTATTCCCAGAACAGGACACAGAGGGGCAGGGAGGTAAGTGGTTTGCTCTGTGACACAGCTAGTCCGCGAGAGGAGACCCAGACCGTCTGGGGCCACCTCTGGGTCCGGGAGCCACTGGTGGAGAGAAGGGGCTGAGGGCTGAGCCATCGTGCAGCCTGGTGCCCACTGGTGCCCGTGCGGTGTGAGAGGCATGGTCTGATCAGATGGAGGTTTGAGGACCGAAAAGCCATTGTTCCACTGAAACAGTGCAGCTGGTAGGCCTTACGCTTCAGAGGCCGCTGAGAAATGGATTCTCTTCTTCAGAGCTGGGATTAATGTAGGAGGGGAAAGAAAAGCATTACATGGTTTCCCGTTGTTCATTTAAAAAAAAATACATTTTTATTGATTTCAGAGAGGAAGGGAGAGGGGGAGAGAGAGAGAAACATCAATGATGAGAGAGAATCATTGATCAGCTGCCTCCTGCACACCTCCTTACTGGGGATTGAGCCCACAACCTGGGCATGTGCCCTTGACTGGAATCAAACCTGGGACCTTTCAGTCCACAGGCCGATGCTCTATCTACTGAGCCAAACCCACTAGGGCTCTCATTATTTTTGATTACTGTTTTGTGCTTTGCTTTATGGTAATTTTATGTTAAAAATTTGTCACTTAAAAATACTCTGCACCCGAATGCCATTCTCCTGTCCAATATTAAATTATTACTAGGAAATACTGTGTGTTAACAAACTTGAACAATTTGCTATTTGACTGATTTGTTTTCTTTGTTTTTTCTAGGTTGGAGAAAAAGTCTTTCCGATCTGGAGATGACAGTTGCAGTTCTCCTTGGGAAGCAGCCTGAGCTTGTTGAAGGAAGGCACTGGAGCGGGGAGTTCACACCAGTGTGAACACTCATCCTTGTGAAACCTGCTGACTCTTGCTCTGCCCAGCAGGCGGTCACCCCCTTCTCTGTGGCTCCACGACAAACACGCTCGGGCAGCCCTCGCCACTGTCACGGCCCATGTCTGTCCTCTAGAAGTAGCTGCGTTTCCAGGTGTCCGCCTGTGCTGTCCACAGTGCCCCCCTGTGGGCAGGCTGGGGGCACAGTGTTCCTAAGCTAGGTCTAGTTCCACACTCATAGGACGCGCGTCAACCTTGTCTCCTGTGAAGTGACTGTTTGTGCGTCATGTGTTACTGGTGTCCTTCCTGCTCTCGGTTCATCCACTCACCATGCAGAACGTGGGGCTGCACAGAGCTGCGCGGGACCCGGAGTTGCAGTGCATGCTCTGGGCTCCGCATGAGGTAGGTAGTACCTTGTAGAGACATCTTCCAAATTAATCGTGTTGGCACATAGTCCATCTCAATAAATATTTTTAAATAAACGGACGTTCATGTAGAGCCTACTTCTGTGCATGTACATGATTTGCACAAGCATGGGATTGTACTACGTGCATTGCTTCGTAACCTTTCTCATCTATTATTAGGGAGAAACTAACATGCCAGGAGGTACACATCCACATGGTGTGTGTATTGTTTCGATGTTTCGTGAACTTTCTATTTGTATACACTGAGTGGCCAGATTATTATGACCACCCCATCTGTACTTCCTTGGGCCACCTTTTGCCTTCAATACTGCGTCGATTCTTCTTGGCATTGACTCCACGAGATGTTGAAAGGTGATCCGAGGAATCTGACACCGTGCCTGATGAATAGCCCTGTCCAATCTGTAAGATTTGATGGTTGTGGAACCAGCTGCCTGATGGCTCTTTTAACTTCGTCCCACAAATGCTCAATTGGGTTGAGATCTGGTGATTGTGGGGGCCACCTAAGCAAGGTAAAATCTCCCTCATTAATGGAGGGAAAAAAGAGGAACAATTGTAATAATATGAACAATAAAGATTTATTAAAAAAAAAAAAAAAAAAAAGTCTCCCTCATGTTCTTGAAACCACTCCTGCACAATATAAGCACTGTGGCAGGCGCATTGTCTTGTTGGAAGAAGCCATCTCCATTGGGATACACCATCAACATGACAGGGTGAACTTGATCAGCAACGATACTTAGGTAGGTTGTGCTATTCAGATATTGTTCCACATGAATTAAAGGGTCCAAATCATGCCAGGAATACTTGCCCCAAACCATAACACTGCCCCCACTAGCTTGAAGGGTTGTACTCATGCATGTAGGGTGCACGTTTTCATGCTGTTTCTGTGAAATTCTCACTCTGCCATCTGCATGATGCAACTGGAAACGTGATTCATCGGACCACATGGCTTTTTCCCAATGCTCAACTGTCCAATCCTTGTGTTCCTGTGCGAATTGGAGACGTTTTATCTTGGTGACTGCAGACAGCAGAGGTGTTCGAACAGGCTTTCGGCTTCCATATCCCATACGATGCGGTGTACGGCTAGTTTGCCTAGAAACGTTAGATGGTCATAGTAATCTGGCCACTCAGTATATAAAAGCCTAAGCAACCAAATGACTGAATGACCTGTTGGCTGGCCACTATGATGCACACTGACCACCAGGGGGCAGATGCTCAACACAGGAGCTGCCTCCTGGTGGTCAGTGCGCTCCCACAGCGGGAGCACTGCTCAGCTGACCTCCGGGCGCCAGATGCGGAGCTGTGGCGGCAGGCGCAGTGGGGCCGGAATGAGTGGAAGCGGTGTGGTGCCTTGCCTGGACTTGGTTTCTCCCTGGCCGCCTGCTGCTTGGCACACTGCTACATCCCTCGGGGGATGGCGGACTGCTGGTTTTGGCTCGATTGCGGCAGGCAGTGGTTGGTGCAAAGGTAAACATTTCTTTGTGTTGCTTTGGTGCACATGCCTCTGCTGAGCTCAGCGTTACCAGAAATGATCAGGCAGTTTTTCAGAGTCAGCACGGAGACCAACTGCCTTCTGATCGTACACATCAGTCTTCAGAATGCTCTCAGCACGCTGATTGGGTTTGGGGGTCATTTTTAGTCATTTTGCTTATTTTACATCACTGAATCTGATCATTGAGAAAAGGGTTCATATCTCACATCGAGACCTCCAGGAACATGACCAATAGGATTCCTTTAGAAAAATTATCTTTATCATTGAAAGTATGACAATGCCTTCCCCCCATTTTTTAATCCATTGACCCTTCTAGCCTGTCCCATCCCCCCGCCCCACTCAGGCCTTCATTATACTATTGTCTGTGTCTATGGGCTATGCACATATGCATATAAGTTCTTTGGTTATTCTCTTCCCACCCACCCCCATCTTCCCTCTGAGACTCATCAGTCTATCCCATGTTTCTGTGTCTCTGGGTTTATTTGGTTCATCAGTTTACTCTGTTCTTTAGATTAGAAGGATTTCTTTTCCAGGGATGGGAGTGGTGATAGGGAAGCTCTGTGCTCCTCTGATACCAGTGAGGTTTTGAGGAGGGCCCATGGACTGGCTTTAGGGGTCTGTGAGCTCCTTGAAATGAGCACTGCTTTGTGGGTGGGGTTGTGGAGGCCTCAGAGATCATGCAGGGCTGCCCCACCCTCCCACCCAGGAAGGGTGGTGCTGGCCCCATGTGCCTGGGCACAGCCTGACACAAGGACGCTCAGCAGACGAGTACATTTATCCAGGAATGTGTGCAATGACTTATCAGCCCCATGGTGCAGTCTTCTTCTTTTTAAAAAATTATATTTTTATTGATTTCAGAGAGGAAGGGAGAGGGAGAGATAGAAACATCAATGAGGAGGGAGAATCATTGATCGGCTGCTTCCTATATACCCCACACCGAGAATCAAACCTGCAACCTAGGATTGAACCAAGATCTCCTGACCAGGAATCGAACCGTGATCTCCTGGTTCGTGAGTCAATGCTCAACCACTGAGCCATGCCGGCCAGGCCAGGTGCAGCCTTCTTGAGGGCTGGTGGTTCCTCCTGGGACTGGCTGGATCCTTCGTCCCCTCTGAGTGGGCAGCAGCAGGCAGGCAGGTCTCAGTGAGGACAGTCCCGCAGCTCAGTGCAGCTGGGCCCCGCCAAACTGACTGGGCTGCTGGGCAATCGACCAGCTGCCTGGGCAGCAGAGGCAGCTCCTGGGGATTTTTTAATCCCTAACCTCCAGGAGGTTGAGACAAGAATCTCCTCCCTTGCAGCCTACAGAGTTGAAGATGCAGGAGCACCTGCATCTCCCAACAGGAGGTTTCACTCTGGGCCGCATGGTCTATGAGACCCAAATGTGCCCCTGGTCCCGCCCCGGTGGCCTCTGGAAAGCTGTGGATTCCATGTTTGGAACAATTCCCGAGCTTCCGGCTGCTTCCCTGAGCAAGAAGAGACCGGAACGAGCCGCTCTGTTCTTCAGGGCTGGCTGACGGACACACGTGGCTGGGGGCAGGTGTGACCTCGCCCAGGGCCCGTCTCAGGTGCAGGGACCAGGGCCCCACAGCAGCAGTGCTTTTCCCGCCAGGGGATTGCTTCTGCCATTTTGGGAGGACGGCAAGCCCCGGACAGGCGTCCGCAGCCCGTAGCCCTAGGACTGCAGTGGTCGGCAAACTCATTTGTCAACGGAGCCAAATATCAACAGCACAACGATTGAAATTCTCTTTGAGAGCGACATTTTTTTAAACTTAAACTTCTTCTAAGGCCACTTCTTCAAAATATAAGACTCACCTAGGCCGTGGTATTTTGTGGGAGAGCCACACTCAAGGGGCCAAAGAGCCGCAGGTGGCTCGCGAGCCGCAGTTTGCTGACCATGGCCCTAGGGGAACCCCTGCCTCTGTGGTCCACCAGTGACGTGGAACCCGCTGCCCTCCTGCCAGCTTCTGTCCTCGGGCTCCAGGCCAGTCCCTAAGCTTCCCCGTCGGAACAGCATCTCTCCTGCCTCCAGTCCAAACACTTCCCGAGTCCTGACCCCACATCTAGCCAACCCCACACCCATCTTCCAGGTGCCCTGGTGGGTTCAGGAACGAGACTGGGACCCAAGCAAGGCCCAGGAGAGAAAACACCTTTCCTGGTGGAAGGGACAGCCAGCCGGTGTCAGCCGGCACTGGTGGAGGCCCAGACTGTGCCTGTGAGTGGGGCACCCAAAGGCCCTTAGCAGGATGGAGAGGGACCAGGTCGCCCTGCGGGAGAGAGAACCTGGACCTGCCAGGCCCAGGCTACTCTGAAACTTGCTTCTTGCAAGTATTAATTTACTCCTACCATTGGGAAGTATTTACTTTACTTCAGTGAGTATGTCCAGTTCCTTGCAATAAAGCGTGTCCTGGCTGATATACCAGAAGCAGCAATTTCCGAGGCTCCCTCTGCCCAGTGTCCTCATGGGGTGGGGAGTTTTGTGGCCCCATTATCCCCCCTGGCCTCCCAGCTGCCGCACCTGCGTGAGGGGCTGTGTCTTCACGCCCTCCCCGTCTCTGGTGGCTTCTGCACTCCGCGGTCACAGTACTTCTGAGAAGCTATACTCCACGCTGCTCGCCAAGTTGCTCTGTAACAGCTGTGAACCCAGTTTGAATCTGAGCGAGTGGATGCAGCTTCCAGCGACACCCAGTTCCTCTCTCTCTCATCCCTCCTTTCGCTCTTCTCTCCCTCACTTCTTCCTCTCTCTTTATCTCTCTGCTCTCGCTCACCTTTCTCTTCTCTCTACTTCTCTCTTCTCGCTCCCCTCTCTTTTCTTGTCTCTATCCTCTCTTCTCTCTCTTCTCTTGTTCCCTTCTCTCTCTCCTATTTCTCTTTATTTTTTCTTTCCCCTTTTGTCTCCACACTCTCTTTTCTCTGTTAGTCTTGGGAAGGCACGTGTACCAGCCTGAAATCCCAGCTTAGCCATGCGCTAGCTGGGGAGCTTCAAGTCCGTTTCTCGGAGCCTCAGCTTCCTCTTCTGG